CAATAACAGGTAGTGGAAAATTCTCAAAGCTACAGATCCGCCGTGGTGGCGGGACTAGGACGTCGACTTTTCCATTAGAAAGCTCTTGACTGATTGTCCAGTGCGCTCCTTGATACCTTATATCTCGGGTCAGACGAACGCTCATTGAAGGAGACAGCTTCTAACTTACTGCTTTTTTATGTTGAAAAGTCTCTGCATAATAATATGGCATGATGGACAACTACTGCAGTACCTGTAGCCGTATAATTCATCGCGTCGAATATCTATGTTTCCAAGGGTACGACCAAGTATGGCGCTAAGAAGGTATCGCCGGGAGACACCAAGATTTTCAAGCAAGTATATCATAGCAGCATCCTCTGCGGGAGTAAAAGGGTTCTTGTCCTTCATGCGTGAAGTTCCATAGGGCGGATGAAGCAAGCATGGGCCCGACCACCCTGTGGCCGGTTTTTGCGGTATCCTAGTATGAACGCCTGCTCCTAATGGCCACTGCCGTTTTGGGAGAAGAGGCCTAAATGGCGATGATTGAGGGATGCGGGATAAGGAACTCGTCGCAAGATGTTGCTGGTTGTTGTTGCCATGTGAGTTTGCGGTATGAGGCTCTGGCTCGAGAGGGCTGCTTGACGCTGTAGGCTCGGCGTCCGTGTTATTCAAAAGCCGTGAAATATCCATAATTCAAACACGATGTTTTGCTGAACAAGAGAGGTGTTGTCGATTCCGCCAGCGACGTCGAGCGGGCTAGTAACAGGCCCGCGAACTCTACCAAGCGGAGAATGAGTGAGAGCGGTCACGGTGGATACCTACTGAGGCATACTTGCGGCGCGAAGGCTCGTTACCCGAACGACGGAACACGTGCCAAAGCTAGGGCGAGGGAAAACCACCATCAATGCAGGATGCGGCAATCCGCTCCTTTGTTCCACGAAGCTGTTTGACCCTCACACATCATTGTTGCTATGTTGGTGGTCCCATGGCAGATCAGGTCACACCCACTGGGAGTTTCATTGACTCCATCTTAACGCCTCCTCCATCAGACAGGAAATCTGCGCAGCATATTTGCTCGATCCTCAACGCTTCCAATACCATTATAACGGGTGTAAGCCACGTCCTTGGGTCAGTTATCGTCTTAGACCCGAGGAGTACGCAGACTTGTTGCGAAACGTAGAGTCAAAACCAAACCTCAGTACCTATATTAAGCGGAAATTGCGGTTTGTTTGCGCCTTTCGTGAATATATGAGAATCTTTTTTCTAACACAAGTCTTCTAGCTACGATTATGACCCACGTCGCTCGCGCTTGACGATCCGAATGCCCACGGCCCTTCGTGAAACTTTCTGTGCTGAGGTCGTTAGCGAGATAACACGACAACTAGATACGATAAAGAATAGTGGCTGCTCGGAGGCCGCGTTTGTCAGAGAAATAAAGCCTTTCGCGTCCTCAAGAATCGAGCTACCAGAGGGCGAGAACGGGCAAAAAAACTTATATCCTACGAGAACCAGATGCATCTTTTGGACACACTAGAGCACAATATCCAGGCGTTGTCATTCTTAGCCGCCGACTATATTTTGTGTACTGATGGTAGCATCAATGTCGTCGTGTGCCTGGATATCGAATATCAAAAGTCTAAACAGGCAACTACATCTATTTGGCGGCCGGATTATCGCCTCGAGCCGGCGAGGAGCTCTTTGTAGCGTCACTTGTTGTTGACCAAGCGGTATGCTTCTCGGCACTACGAGAGTATTCTTATTAATCAGGCTAGGTCTTTCGAACCCACGATGGACGCCCGTTAGATTCAGATCCATTACGGTTGAGCTTGACAGATTTCGCGACGAGCAATCTTGCAGAGGACTATCCTGATATAGGCCGCCATGAGATTGTAATATCTTCTAAAATGCTCTATGACTTTCTTTCACAGGCGGAAAAGAGAACAGAGACCCAGAAGCAACATCGTGGTGCTACAAACAGCATTCGCCCTGGGGGTTCTGAAGCGTCGCCGACCGGTAACCCCAGACGAGTCAGACACTGAGTCCGAGGAGGAAGAGCCAAAGCGTGTTCGCCATGATGATAGTGATTATTGTCCGAGTTCATAAACTATGAGCCGGAATGATCAGCGGTTTTTCCTTTTTATTCCCCTTTTTTTGCGTTCATCTTCATCTGCAGCTTCTGCCGCCCTTCCCAATAGGACTTTTCCCATTGACTTTGCGCAGATGCGAGAGCGTTGTATCTTTCCTTTTCCTCTGAAGGCATTGTTTCTGCGAAGCCGGACTTTTACGACGGCACTCTGGTGGCGGAATGTGACAAGGTTGTTCGTCAACTCCCTGGCTCCTCCAAATCACTTAGGATATCGTGATCGGCGCCCGCGAAGTCGGGATGCTATTGGAGAGAAGAAGAGTTGATCTATGGGCTGAACGAGAACGCCTTTGTAATTTTATGCAAAAAGACCATGACCCCCGGAGTAAGAAAACCGTGATGAATACTGTTTTCCCGATCATCCAAGACATACAATTTAGAGAAGAGAAACTCTTTGCAAATCTAGACCCGCTCGCAAAGGCATTATTTCTGCAAAGCAACGAGAGAGAGGGGACCGCAAATGGGGAAGACAAAATGGGGACCTCACCGAGAAGCAAAAAAAAACTGGTATGATTGGTTACACAGACGATCTCCGGCGTCCCGAGGTCAACATCTGGAAGACTGACTAGAAGGTCCAATGAAGAGTCAGGACGTCTGGGGCGCCGGAACCGCCAAAAATCTATTGGTTTACAGAAGGTGTCTGTATCCACCGTCCGTGCATGAAGTCTTTCTTTTGGTTGGCTATCATTACAAGACATTCAGCTCCTTGGCGTGAGCAATCTTCGCTCCTAATCTGGCCTTGGTCTCGCAAGTTCCTTCGGCAGCAGAGTCCCAGTTTCCGTGCCTTCTACTCCGTACTTGGCTGCCTGACATGCCATTGGAGCAGAATTATCGAAGGTGCCACAATTGTCAAGTCATGACCCAGACGGGGCTGAACCCATGGCCCAGAGGAGCTTGGACTTTGAGCCCTTTCCCCCGTTCCTTTTGTTCTTCTTCACTCCTTGATACTTTATCGATGTTGTATGAAAATCAGACCGGTTCATAAGGAGCACGGATACTTAGTTAAGCGCACGCAAGTTCGTTTTGATATATGGCCTTTGGCAGAGAGTTGAACTCAGCTGCAGCGAAATGCCATCTAATATCGCACAGATCCTCCCACTGCATAAGTGGACGCAGCCAGGATCACAAATAGTTCCAACTGCTGGCCCCCTGATTCAGGGAGGAAGATCCCTGCAACCTCATGATACTTCACGTGACCCAACACTCTCCAGTCCCCATCCCCGCTTTCCAAAGTCCTGCCGCATCCAAAGAAGTCCATCTGTTGTGTACCTTCCACAGCCCGCCATGCGTTTATCTGAGAGCAAAATACTGGTTGACACCCTCTCCCAAGCCTGTGATAAAGCTGAACATACCGGAATAATCGATGTTAAAGCCCTCCTTTCCGAAGAGGTATGCCGATTCCGTAATATTATCGCATAGACTAAGGCCATTTAGTTTGTACGCTCCCTTCGTGAGCTATGGGCGCATATCCCTGAGAAAACTAGACGAAGCATCTACCGCCAGCGAAAGAAGATTGGCAATGGGTCTCAGCGGGCAAGAACTATTCAACCGGAAATGCGAAAGATAGTTCTGCCACAGGATGTACTGGCTGATGTACCTCACTGGACGGAAAACCCCTCGTTATTCTTTTGCGATGAGGGCAGCAAGTTAGACTTGGTTTTCGACCCCATCCCTGGAATGTACAAATACCTTGACGGGCTTACAGTGCGGCGGACGATTGACAAGATTCGTGAGCGCTTTGTCAAAATCGTATATCACCGACTGAAGGAAAGATTAAGTCTAGGATACATTCGCTCAGATTGCGTCGACGATGTGTTGGCAATCACTTCAAAATCGGGTTTAATCAGTCATGAATCCGACGACATCAAATCCAAGATCACCAGGTGGTCAAAATTGGGCAAGAAACTTGATACATTTTGCCTAAGCATCGGAGGTTCTGCCAGCCATGACAATTGGCACCTGGGCAACCTTTTCTGTCTGCCTGAGGACTGCCATGATGAGTTGTGAGTAGCAAGACCAAAGTCGACGTATTCATTTACTGATCAAATCAAAGCATAAGACTTCTAGGTTTGACGGGGGCGGTTAGGGATCAACAAGTCCAAAAGATCAAAGATCGTGGCATACTGGAGGTGCAAGACAGACCTAAGTTAGATAACCTGGCGGCTAAGATATTCGACGTCTTATGGAAAAGGATCGAAGTGTCCATCGATGAGATAAAAAAAAAGTCACCGGAATCGGCCTTGGGTGAGTAAAGCCATAACGTCAAAGAACCCAACTAACTAGAGACCTATAGGGCGGAACCTCCAATATACTCGATACTTCCGAATAGAAGAGCAGTCACCAGGAGAACACCGAGAACTACACACGCCGATCAGTGCCGATGAGCTTTCGCCCGTTTCTGATGCGGTTGAGAATAATAAAAACGTTGATTCTGCAGCGATCATCCAAGTGTCGCCAATGATTGTTTCTGAGAGGATACATGATTCTTCAAACTATCCCTACAGCAACCCCATGAATCAGCATCTAAATCAGCACAACGGGCGAACTCTGATCAATGTCGATGACATGATCCAGCCGATATTGACAACCCATGGCTTTACTCCGTCCATTAATCAGACCCCGGAAACCCCAAGGTATATGGCTATAGACGACATGCTCCAACCTATTCTTCCGCGCCATGACTGCAGTTTGCCTTACCAGCAATCTCCATCTTCAAGTAATGCCAACATGATCGACGTTAATGACATGATCCAGCCAATATTAGCAACCCATGGCTTTACTCCGTCCATTAATCAGACCCCGGAAATCCCAAGGTATATGGCTATTGACGACATGCTCCAACCTATTCTTCCGCGCCATGACTGCAGTTTGCCTTACCAACAACCTCCATCTTTAGGCGATGTCAACATGGTCGACGTCAATGACATGGTATTGTCAGCCGAAAACTTTGCTCTGATCAGTAACCAGGTGCAGGAATACATGGTAGTAGATGATATGCTCCAGCCGATACTACCCTCCCAGGCCTATGAACCACACGGAAGTCGACCAGCCTTGCCGCAACCTGTTAGCTTGCCGAATTCCCAGAGCGATCCAATGGAAACGGTACCACTCATGAATCAGCCAACCGCCCCCAGGCAGGTCGTTGGGCAAATGGAAAAACAGGCGGTCTCGATACATGGATCATGGCCAACAATGTCAGAGAGCCTGGAGACGCAAAACCAGAATCCCTTCTACAGCCGCCAAGCTGTTCCTGCGGTTTGAAAGCTGTCTGTTTAGGATCCTGTTGAACCATGACATCACTGTTTCTAGACTTAATATGCTAATATTTGTTATCATATCACCTGGGTACAAAATATATAGCTGCTGTCTCTGAATTGACATCTGTCCCGTCTGGCGCAGCCTCGACGTAAAATCCCTCCTGTGACACCTCGTCTTTGAGCGTCCAATCGCATAGCGTTTCTCGGGAAAGAGGAATTAAAAATCCTCTTTTTCGTGCGGTTACCGTTGTGCGAACTGCGAAATATAGCAAACGCCAGCCCCAGTTCTACGCAAAGTCAAAACATTTTCATATAGAGAAAGGTCTATCACGTACTTCTGGATTTGTGATGGGCAACTGCTCTGAAAGTAGAGTAATTTGTGTGGCAAGTAACTGTCCTCCGTATGTCTTATTGCCATTCACTTCCGTTTTGAGAAGCTCCGCACAATTATCGGCTGCCTCATCTGATAATTCGGGAATCATTGCCTTTATCTTGAGGCGTATATTCTCGGCGGTTGGTGAAAGTTTCTGCGGATTCATCCTGACAAGCTGGTGATTATCGGCTAAGTGAATAGTGAAGTAGCTGTTGCCTAGTGTGTTAGTAATAATTCTTGAGGAAAGTAGTAACTGAAGGATACCTTTAAAACCTAGAGACTAAGAGATAGAGGATGCCATATTCCATCGATTTGTTCGCAACATGTCAAGGAAGAGGGGCACGAGAGGTGGTGAGTTGAAGTTGCGGTTATTGGGCACCAAGTCTCGTGACTGCACCCCGCTCCGATTTCACTTAGTGTATTTACGTCATAAGGACCTCGGGGAGGAGAATCCGCAAACACTAATCCCGTAATAACTGTCGAGAAAGGGATCTGTATGGCTTCATACATACCCGAAAAGGAAGCTGGTAATAAACCTGGAATGATTCGTTCACACCTGGGATCCCTTCCTGGCCAATACCTTATTGATATCGGTGCTGGGGCCGCCAAAGGCTCTTTTGAAGTTGAGTTAGACCTTGGAAAGCACTCATTTACAGATAGCAAAATCAGTCCATAGCAAAGAGTCCAGTCCAAGAGAGATAGAAGAACTCCCCAAAATCTTGTGACCATTAAAGCATCGAGAATATAACGATCAGAGTAAGGGCGGCTAAGCACAGGGCGCCAATAGTAGTTGCATCATTCCGCCAATTTCTTATAGTCACTAAGCATCGAGCAGTGGGTGATCCGACGAGTGCGTATTCCAAGCGCGGGTTGAGGGAATATAGCGCCTCCAGGAGGTTGCGACCGGTGGATATTTCACCATTCCAGCAACCTTCAATGACCCAGCCTAGCCAGATACCTTCTGTGCTTGGCAACAGCTTCCTCTCCGGCCAGTAAGCTCGACCATCAGTAGGGGAGTTATTCATAAAGAGATCGACTTCACATTTGGTGCCAGTGATAATCTCATACATGACAGTTCCAAGGAGGGCAATGTCAGTCCGGGTCGTATATCCGTTCTCATCTACAGCTTCCATATCAGAATCCAATGGAAGAAGAGAAGCTTCTGTGAAGTCACAGATTCTGAGTGATAAATCCGAATCAAGAAGAAAATTTCGGCTGGCAATATCTGCAACAAGCACACGTCTTTCATGAATAAAGCTGATTGTGCGAGCCATCTGATTGAACCATCTGAGTTGTAGTTGAGGAGGAGGGCGAGATTTTGCAAGATACGCCTGGAGATCTCCATTGACCATATAAGCAAGTTGGGTGGCGTTGGCTGAAAACCCAATGCAATGGACAACACCTTGGGAACGGTCATCCGTAGTGTCTTGCAAGCGGCGATATACATTTTGCTCGCGTCTAAGACTTTGAGTATTCGCTTCGACTTCGGAGTCTGAGCTCCAGCGGTATCTCAAAGGAGTCTTAATGGCGACCCCATTTTGAAGCAAAACTACTGCAGTCGCCCCACTTCCGATAATCCGTTCCTGAGGAATTGAATTTCCATGTATATCAAGAAAAGGGGAGGACATGGCAGCAAGTAAGAACAGGGGATGGAATTGGCTATCTAGTAAAGGGCTGAGCCAGATTCTTAAATGCAGGTTTCCCGCTCACGTGACTTCCAGAGGCTCCACTTTCATTTCCATCTTGATGCGAGTGGCGTTCTATAACCCCACGAATCTCTGAAATTTTATCCAGCTTGCAGCGTGATAGATCAGTTGCTGCGATGCTTGGGACAATTCTGGTTGCGTTTGGTCGAGCTTCCTCGAGATGTTTGCGTAACGGGGTTACACATGCTGCCCCTTTTTTCGGCTGGCTCGCACCATCGGATATGGTCATCGGTAGGATCGAACAGGATACAGTTTCCCTGGTCCTTTCCCTGGCAGTCTGGAAATCTGGCTGGTGTTTTGTACAGCTGCCAACACATTTTGCTGCATCATCGTTAGGAAATTCGAAAAAGGGCGGAGTGACAACAGTACTAGATTTGATTTGATGCTTCGACCTCTCGGGAAACTTAATGAAAGTTGATTGATCAGTTTAGAAAACAGCACTCTAAAGGCCTTTAAATAAACCCACTGCGAGGTCAAAGCTCGAGTCCTGATTTGTTAATCTTCACCAGCTGGCTCAACTTACTAGCCCCATTTGACTATGCCATATTTGGCAAATCTGTTTGGTGCCAAATTCTCGCCGTTCACAGTCTACGCGCGTAACCCCTTCCAACCGGCAGAGTTACAGAAGTCGAGCGAGTTGCTGCCGTCTTTGGAACTACAATTGGCCGAAAGTGACAAGCTGTGTGATAGTGGCGCTCCGTGACTCCACGACTAAGCAGTCTCGCCGGCAACCGTGCACAGGGGCATGGATCTCATCGCCCAGACCCCGCAAGAACACCGCTCTATCTTTATTCTTCCCACGGCTACTAAGTTGGGGGAAACTTCGATCTGGACCGTTCAAACTTTGGCAAACGATGGTTTGCACGCAGGAACCCCTTGATTTGTGAGCAGGGGCCGTCAGCTTACAAGGCTCTTAAAATGCCAGCCTTGCACACAGTTGCACACCGCAATTTGGCAGAGCCTACGAGAGTATCGCATCATTTGTGCCTTCAAGGTTTTTCGGATCGCCTCCACAAACTATGTCGTGGTGTTTTGGCGACCAGAGAGACCCCTCCACTACAACTACGAATCTTCGCTCAAATTCACAATCAGATCGAGACCATACCACCACAGAGCCAACAAAGATTGGACTTCTTTACCCGCCATGGCCTCCATCCCAGGAATCATCGACTGCAAGGATATCTAGTCCATATGCGAACTCGCTTTCTCAACCAGCGCCTGTAAGCACGGTCCGCTACCTTATTACAACGAAGCTAACCTCCAGAGAGGAAATCATCTTTATTACAGCTTCTTGCCCTCATCACAATGACAAACGGTTTCAGCTAAACAAAGCAAAATTTACTGCCCTAGTCCTTTCTTCAGGGGGCACTACGACCGAAATCCTCGATTATCATGAAGTACAATCCAGACCTGGTGGGCCTGAGGCTATGGCTCGATTTCAGGCCAACCCTGATGCCCCACTATCATTTAACCATACTCCTCGTTTGGAGGATCTAACCCGGAAGCCTGAAGGGGGAGAAGCGCTATCTGAGCCTGGCAGGTTCCTGGCCTCGAAAAATTATTTCTTGTCTCTTCCTTCACTCCTTTCCACGCTCCCGTTCAAGTGGCCAAAGTGGGGAGGATTGTTTAGAAGAAGAGATAGTCACTCGCTTGGACTGTCAGAGACCACCTTACAGCCACCTTACCAGTACCCGGGCCCGAGCTAAGCACCTTATCGTTTACGAAGAATATCATGATCTGTATACGTTGATTCACATTTACTAGTAATTTCAATCGAATGTCACACTGGGATGCGGCCCATTATTAGCCAACACCAGAGCCTAACCTCGCCTCAGACGTCTAGTCCTGCAATAGTAGTCAGTCAATTCCACGCTCTTTTACGCAAGCAAAAAACCTACTACAGATTATAGAGGCCCGTGATGGAGCTTCCACTTTCGGCTTTGGCGAAGTAAGCTCTCGACCAAAGGAAAAGTGTCTTCTTTGCGATATTCAATGCCTTGGCCAAACCCGTCGCACTATGCTTAGTTACAAAGAACTTCTACCCTTACCCGGTAGGCATGAGGCTCTGAGAACCCATTTCCTGCGTCAGATCGTTGAGCCAAAGTGGTGGGAAAGATTGTTTAGAGTAAGGAAGAGCTAGTCTCTGCCCGCGAACACACTATGGCCAACAGCTTGACCTCATATAGGTTCATTTCACTACGTGGAGAAATCAATTCGAAGGCGTGTTCGTCAGCCATGTTGTGCTTGTAGTAATCAAGCACCGGGGGGAGAAACATGCCGCACGTGTGGACATGAGCGCTGCGCAGTGTGCCTCCACTTGCAACAGTCAGGGCGCTGCGATAGTTAAGATTCAAGAATCTGTCAGCCTCGGCTAGGAGCGCCAGAATTTCACGTACATGTGCGATTTGTGTCTGGCGAAATTGCTCAGGGGCGTGGTCGATAATCCATCGTGGATGTCTGCAAGACATCCGTTTTTGGAAAGAGCTGAGAATATCGATTAAAGCCACTTCGGGCCTTGAGGACCATGGCCCAGATCCTCTGGTAGTACATTCGGCCTACTGCGAGATCTGAAGTTCTCGCTAATACGTAGGGTACCCCGATTTGCTGAGCAGCCGCCATAAGCTCGCAAGACTATTTAGATGCCAGCCTTGTACCCATTTGCACAGCTCAATTTAGCAGTCATGGTAAGCAGTTTGAATCTGTTTCATTTCTCCCATAATTTCCTGCCTATGCAATGTGGTCGCGCGTTCCTTCCCAGCATACTCCGTCGAACATGAAATTGGGAAGCGTTGCCTCCCAACCAAAACCAGACCGATACCTTGTAGAGATTACAAGGATTTGGCCTTCCCCGTCGCAACAGGCCCAGGAACCGGGCGCCGCAAATTTACCCGGCTCGGGCCGCCGGTTGTTACCCATAAGTCCAGAGCGTAGCGAAACGACCAAAGCAGATCTAAGCCGTCCATTCGCCATGCAGTGGAAATTAATGGATGAAAATGGGGAAACGTACTTTCGCAACCCCGGATTGAAGAGCATCACTAATATATGACAGGCACTTAAAAGGTCAGGTTGCGATGGAAGTTTGTGGTCAGCACTTGGAGCGCAGAAGAAACACCATGGTACAGGCTGCACCCAAGGTTCTTCATAAAGAATCTACCCTGTTGGCTATGGGCGAAAGCCCAAATATGGGAACTATTTGGATCTTTGAAGGGGAGCAATCCTCTGATCATAAGACTATGTTCTTGTAAGTACTTATGCCCTGGAAGAGGTAGTAACTAATCCCTAAATAGCGCCTTTACCATTGTCGCTGCGTATCCCGAGAATTCACCTGTTTACCGTCTGTATTCCGAACTGTATTCCGAACGAAAAAAATGGGATAGAGCCATATTTTGGATCAAAACGCCCAAGTTGTTCAAATAGAGAAGATATTTGTTAGATGCAATGCGCTTCGATTTGCAGCCTCTCTACCGGATGTGTTCTACTTGGAAATATGTTTTGTTAGCTCCGAGGACAAAAAGATTTTGCCGGAACCACGTGGGGCACGAACACTCGGGGAACCATTTTTTTTCTCAATCTGGCTGGTCATATACAGAATTAAAGACTAGTTCTAAATCGTAGACTGCGCGGTTAAAGTATATAAGGACTAGAAATCTTGTTTAGGGTCTTGCTAAGAGCTTCTCAGCGCAACTCCCCATTTGGCCATATATCTCTATGTCCGAACCCCTCACGATGAGCAAAGAGCTTGAGCGAAGCTTTTCCAAAAACGCACAGTTCTTTGGCAGACTGCTAATAAGAAATCTGTTGAAAACTAGAAACTGTTTCGACTTAAGGCTTTCCTCATGGTATGGCGACCTCACATTCAGTCTCCGCCAAGCAATGCTTTTTGAGACCACGACTACAATCGAGCTTCGGACCTGGACCAAAGCTATGATAGACGCTTCACTTGCGTTGGCTATTGTTGAGGTAAATAAGCTGCTTGGTCCTATCAGTATGTGGCTAATCGACATTACAGATCGCTAGTTGTGACTCCTTGGAAAGTTTTAAGAGTCTGATACCCTTAAATGGCGCATTTGACTTGCTGCACAACCTGGCCAACGTGACCAACAAAGGAGTTTGGAGTGCGGATATAATGAATCTTTACCTCGATGTGAAATTTGCTATAGTTTGTTCCTCGATTCTTCGTCCTAATCAACCAGCTGACCTTGAATAGATTTCCCAAAGTTTGTTGGGCCGTGTCCCTGTCGGGAAGAAATTATTGGAGGAAATCGACATATCCCCTGGCCCGCAACAAGAAATCGACAAACACTGTGATGATGTGACATATATAACTGGAAGACTATCTTTTCTAGTGGCATATATACATCACAATGTTGTGCCAGACCCGGAATATATTTGCAGGGAAGCAGGTTCAATCCAACAGAAGCTCTTGGAGTGGTTTGAAGCCCTGCCAGAAGAGATTTGTTCGAATGTTACTCGTTCTCCTGGTGGTTATAAGATTTGCCTTGCAATGAATAGTTACCGGTGTGCGCGGATAATTGTCGACCAGATCCTTTCAAGGCGGCGATCTGAGCACCAGACAATTGGGGATATACCGAGACTTATTGATGATACTTGGAACAGTATCTCGTTCCTCCGAGAGTTCACACAGGACCCTTCCAGCAACATCATTATGTTTAGCTTCGCGCTTCTCTGGCCTTTGCTTACTTTAGCCGCCTTAGAATGTGAAATTGGAAGGAACGCAAGAGATTACCTTCACAATTTTAGCAGAGAGAGAGGTATTGGGCAAGGCCTGTTACTCTGCCCTAACTCACCGGAAATGAAGGTTGCAACATTTGAGTTCTACTGGGGGTTTAAATGAGTATTCGGTCAGGACAGGAAGCAAGTGGAAGAGAGGATTGGATTCCAAGATGCAGGAAACATGTGGTATTACCGCAAGAGACATGTGTGCCGAATGAAGATCTGCTTTCAGGGAAACCAGCTTTTAGAGATACCACAAGCGGCAACTACGAGCATTGTACCGCCCAGGGATCTTCTAAGCGTTTAACAAGAAGCCATTACTTTTGACTGGCTTCCTGGAAAGAAGAGCGTATACTTGAAGGAAGAATGAAATCACAGGCCAAGCTCCCCATACTCCCTGAGCTCAAGTCTAAGCTTGACCCACTAGTTAAATCACTGCGAGAGATTGCTCAGCACATATCTGACCTTATAAATGGCGCAGCCTTGCCCCCGAAAATGCACACCGCAAATCTGCACGAGTCATCGTTTAGATTTTCTTGCTCATTTTACCACTTGCACAATCCATGCCGCCTCATCCTAATCTTTTCTGGAAACCCCGCACTATGACCTATCCAAGATCAGGTTATGTGGAAGAGCCAACAATAAGAGGAGACCCTCTACCAGGGAATGGGCTCCGGACTCCTCCTACTGCAAGAATATCCGCTACCCACCAGGTTCCGGAATTGACCTCAAGTGCTACGGCCAAAAGGATGTGGCTGCCTTGGGCTGGCTTTCTTCAGTGCCTGGGCATCGGGGCCAGCAAGCCAGGCGCCCTCGTTCTAAGTCTGCCACCCACCCTCGTTTCAGACCTGCCACCCACGCCTCCTCCAACGCCCGTCAAAGAGACACAATCCTCCCTTGCCAAATCCTGGTTCTCCAAACTCCAGCACCTGGTCGCTAGGAATAGAATCGGCCCCCGTTCATCAAACAGTTTTGATGAGGAGCTTACTTTCTGGAACGGGTCAATGTCTTTCAATGGAGATAACACCAAACCTGTGGGTGATAAGTCTCATAGCGAGCCGGTCAAGAGCGCTGACAACTTTAGCATCCTCGCGAACACTACCGCCCCGAGACTGATGGTATGTACGACGAGTGTACTCTTGTTGAGAAAAACAGCAGCACCAACATACGTACACTTCACCTTGATCCACACCCAGGCGAACTGGTGTCCTCCCCCTCAAACTCGAGTACCGACATACCAGAACTATCAGGACGACCTGAATGGAACGAAGCGCGGGAGCGAGACTCGAATCTAGCCTTTTTCGATCAGGAACGTTCTCTGACGCTCTATTATTGAATTCCTATGCAGACCCAAAGGGATTCAATAGCCCAATTCTCAAGCTTGTGCGCTATTGTGCTCTGTGTTTCCTTAACTCGTTCTATATCTCTATTCTATAGTTTGCTTTCGTGGCCCATTTCATAGTTACCACAAATCTTTGCGCTCGATATGACAAACTATTTTGGCTCTTTCTCAGCGCGTATTATGAAATCAATCAATCCGGGTTATTTCCCTAGCTCAGAGGATGTTCCATGCTGCCGCAAGCGAAATGCAGGGCTAGACAGCACAACCTGCCGTCTAGGGCAGCTGTGGGTCTATAAATCCATCCTTGAGGCACCGATTAAGGAGACAACTATGAATCAAAGGCTTGGAAACCAAAGGCCGCTATCATGCAGCACGGATTTTTCACCCCTACCACCCACTCCACCTACGACCCCCACACCCAGAGAAGCATCAAACACTTCGCAATCCGACAATCTGATAAGCTGCACCAACTGAAACGCCTTGTTGCCTGGACACAAGTGCCATCCCCATGTCAGTAATATATGTTAGCTCCATTTATTCGCATGGATACATTAGGACACCTCTAGCACATGGATACTTAGCATTTGCCACCAATCTTCCCCGATTATGTATGCGGTGCGAAGGAAGGATTCAAGTGTCTACAGGATTGAGGCCTTCCGAAATCCGTGGTACTTAAGGATCCTACATCTTCACATACAGTCAGCTCATATGTCGTTTGAAATTGAACTTGACGAGGATATTCACGTCGTCCTTTATCCCTATATTGCGTACTATCTGTTTGTTATCCTCGCCCTCTGCTCCAATTCCTGCCGCGGCCCTATCGATCCAAAGCGCGCCGACAAGCCACCGGAACAAACCATCGCGCAAAGAACAAGTCAATCAGGATCAAAAAGAAACGACTCAGGAGAAACATTACTGTAAGTTATTACCGGGAGGAATAATGTTTCTCCATTGGCAAGGTCGAAACCTTCGCACTAATCTTCCAGCCCCTTTCTCATCTCTCCCTCTTCCACAGCCGCACCTGACTTCAAGACGCTGCCACCGAACAATGACACATATTGCACATCTTCCAGTCGAGCTTCTGCTATTGATTTTCAATAATCTCTATGATCTAGATGATTTAATAAGCTTTTCGAGAACATGCACGATAGTGCAAAACCTTTATAGTCGGCACAAACCGAAACTTCTCTGGTCCATAATTGTACTGAATCCACCCTTACATACCCCCTAACTTGCTAACCAACCCACTCGTAGCGAAACTCTGATCATCACAAGTACGATGCTGCACTTTGCCGCTTGCATGACTTGATGCATGGCACAGAGTGTGATACTACACTGAAACCTCCAATTGACCAACTTCCGATACCACATTGGATGTTGGAGGATTATTCCAGTTTCAGGTTCGATGGGCGGCAACAAGCCATTGACGAGGAACGAGCAGAACAACATCTTCAGCTAATACTCACCTGGTGGCAACAAACAAGTCAGATACTATCTTGCTATCTAAATAATATCGATATGTATCGCTCCACAGTGGCTTTTATCGACGACGGATCTCTTTCGTTGGAGCAATCGCAGAAGTATGCCATGGCATTGCATCTCGATCAGTGCTTCGCGGTTACCGGCATAATATCGTCCTCTTCAAATCCTGTTCGGTGCTGTAGCATCCCGTCAAAGGCAAGACTGTATCGAGCGGTCATGGGCCGCTTTCTTGATACCAAAGCGGCTCAATTTGCTAAATTCTGCGCTGTACCGAAGACCTCCGAAGAGCTATTCGATAATGTCAATGAGAGGTGGTCTTATAACCCGAATCGCACTCTGGAAGAGTCATTGGAGGTCATGGAGGCATTCGATATTATATCAAACTTCATGCTTCTCCATATCCTCGGTAAGCCGGACACCATTGCGGCTTGGCTAGTCAACCTCGATCAGATGGGTTTCCCTGAGGAGGCAGAAAATTTCAGACCAGACCCCCATGGCTCAATCCTGTGGAATTGGAAATATATTCTGAACTATCTCCAGCCATATTTGACGCCATTCGACATTCTTTCATTATTTTCTACTAAGGATGAAATCAGCAAGGACACGCTGCTATACCTTGCTACGCTACTCGAGCCCTCTACCGGCGAGCCTCCTGGAATGGGCAGCGTTGAATGTGATCTATCCCGTAAATTGAAAGACGAATTCCAGGTTGACAGTCATCGCTGGGAATCATATCGCCGCCACGCCTGGAGCAGCGCGCTCAGAGGCAGATTGTTTTGTGAGGATGTTAGTGTTGCGGAAATTGCAAACAGCATTGTGCAAACCAGGGACCATAAGTGTGACTGGTGGCAATTTTTGGTCCCAGGTGGGGAAGGGGCGGATTTTCGAATTCCAGTTCAGCGCCTATACCTGACGGATGATCAGACGCGTTCGGAAAACATTGAAGACGACGACTGTATAGAACTATATACGATTTCTGCAGAGGGCCTGTGTCAGAAACCTAATCAAGTCGCATGACGTAGCGGAATGTGAAATGAGTTGTGGAACTACGTCCGAGTATGATTTGATCTTGGAAGCCGCAGGAACTAAGATGGGGTACTTGACTTTAGGCCAGATTTTTAACCTTCTTATAAAAAGTAAGCCAGACTACGTCTTCTTGAATGATTGACGAACCTATTCCACAATTGTCTTCCAGAAAATAGTTTCGGCCCAGCGTCTTCCCTTCGGATACCCTTCAACCCCTCGAGATTTCCCCTTGAACAGTCTACCAAGAGTAGGCAGAATGGGAGATAAAAAAAGATATATCAGAACGAATCCGCCCCGCAACCCTGGGCGCGACGAAGCAAAGCACCCAGTGATACAGCTCATGTTATCAGCCAGTGTGTGTTAGATAGAGGGTTCGACGATGACATGGTGCTGGCGCCATTGTCAGACACCTCTTCCTATTGCTCAGCTTAGGATATTGACCACTAGTTGCGGTGGGGAGCACGGTAGACTGGGAAATGGTAGTCAGCGCTGTGGTTTGCTCAGTGTTTTTCATAGATCAAGGCGTGGCCGATTAGGTGCGGTGGCGAATTAAGCTAGATCCGTTTGTTGACTGGTTGTTTGATTGGTTAGTCTCTTAGTTACGAAGTCTAGGATGGCTTTCACAATAAACGGAACTTCCGACTTCAGTAGTGACAGACCTTCCGGCCAAAGAGAAAGAGAAAAAGAGGGAAATAGACCAGGAGGATAATGCCCGGGTCTTCATCCTCTGGCGCGGGGATCATCCAAAAACGCCACAAATCTCTGCGCTGGATGTGACAAAATTTTTTTGGCTCTTTCTCAGCGCCTCTTATTCAATCCCTAGACAATTTCCTCTTCTATACATATTTCTATTACTATTTTATACGGTCTTCCACTTTTGCCCTACGATAGTTGCTGGTCCCCTTCAAAGCCAGCGATCCCGTTAGGTTCTCAAGAATTCAACCCTTTCTGTCCCATGGTCGCCAAGTTATCGCTGTACTCATGGATTTTAATTCCATACTCAATCAACCTATTGTTTCCGACGAGTCCTCCAGCGAAGGTACGTGGTTGTTGCCGGTTATTTTTACTCTTGCGTCTGCTAACATGCTCCCAGTTAAAGCAGGCCAACTCTCTCGTGGTAGCAGCCAGATTGCTGCTACCCACTCCCAATTGGCTATTACTCGTTCGATTAGTGCCCTGGAGGCTGAGAGTGCTCAGCAACACAAGCTTAGCCCGAGCGGTCGCTCTCAGATCGAAAAGCATGTTATTAGCCCTCTCCTAGAAACCGAGTCCCTGAAGCTGTTCCACCCTCTTCTTGAGGATGTCCGCCAGCAGATTGATAATGAGCGTATCTCCTGCCTGCGTGATCTTGAGAAGATGGTGTTCTCTCTCGCTCCTGTAGGTTTTTTTTCTTACACCCATTGCCTTGCTTTTAACTCACCCTTGTTTTCTCTTTCAGGATGTCAAGGCTAGCGATGCCGCTTATGTTCGCTTCTGCCAGCACACTATTCTATGCCTCGGCCAGACAGTTTTCTCCTTGAATGGTCGCGACCTGTGTTTCCCAAGTGACGAGCAATATAATAACGGCTACTTTGTCAATCTCTTGGAGGAGGTCACCCGTTTCAAGAGAATCGGTGACGAATGGCAAAAGAAGTGCAAAGATTGCGGCAAGGTCTTTGCTCGTCCTTGCGACCTCACTAGGCACGAAAAGTCACACACTCGCCCGTTTAAATGCCCAGTTACCTCTTGCAAGTACCGCACCAAGGGATGGGCTACCGAGAAGGAGGCCGAACGCCACTATAACGACAAGCACTCTGACTCTCCTCGCCTTTATTTATGCCGGTTCGAGTCTTGCTCTTATAAGTCCAAGAGAGAGAGCAACTGCAAGCAGCACATGGAAAAAACCCATGGCTGGGTCTACACTCGCTTAAAGAATAACGGTAGAACCAAACGTGCCTCCACGAAGCAGAGCCCCACTCCTTCCATGGAGCATGACTCCTCCCTCCGAGGCTCCTGAATTTAGAAAGGAACCAACTAGCTGGGGACCTTGCTGCCACTCCTGAGACTTTCCTTCAACACGTTCCAACACCCGATGACTGGGAAGTCCACACCAGTAACTGGAACAATGGACGCCATAGCCCCTGGCACCATCAACTCTCCATCGGAGCTCTTTAACGTACCACCTGAGACAGCCGCCTTCCCTATGCATGACATGAAGGCTACTGATGGCAGCTGGTATACATGGATCGAATATCCACATTGAATCAGGAACCAGATTTTAGGTGTAGCGCAGATAGCTATATTTAGCCGCCGCTGCACGGCTTCATGTATGTAGCCTGTCCCAGCTTAGAACTGTTGAACAGTACACCACAATAGGGAAAGCAGATATTCTAGGACCATTTCTATCAGCATTGTCGGATACCTGAAACCGAGGAGAACTCTTCTAAGGCCGCGGTGACAGAACTCCGCGACTGGATCAATGCTAATTTCTTAGATACATTCCAAAATGTGGGCCAGGGCGATCAACAGACCGCTGAGTGTCAAAGCATTGCGCAAGCCGCGCATCCAAG